CAACTGACTCGGAATTGATTGTCCGAGATGTTATTGCAGTTTTGCATTCAGAATGACTGCCACCAAGTGCTGTTGCGGTTGTGGTTTGGTTGCAATATGACCATCAAAGCGGCCGGTGAGGGAGTTGGTGGGTCACTGCCGTGTCATAAGTGCAGCTCAGAGAGGCCGGATATTATAAATGGGCTCTAGGGGGTGTGGATGCCATCCCCTGTGATTTATACTGACAGCATACGCAGTGATGAAGATGCTGGTATGATGATTTCTGCATTTGCACTGCTCTTTACGATGGCATATGCACATGTACAGTATGTAGACGTACGTTTCACATTTAGCTCAAACAACTGAGTCTTGGAAACTTCACAGCATAATTACACTGTACAGCCTGCGGTGAACAAAGCTGAGCCGGAGCTGGTCCTCCAAATCAAAACATTACATTCATTGTGTTGTTAGAAGGTGCATTTGGAAAAACATGATACACAATTCACACATGGGCTTTCATGTTCAAAAGTAGATGTTTACAACACGTGGGTTCTGGATATGAGATAGAGGTGCAGATAAAACACTAATGAAAAGCTTTGTGAACACAGATTTAATTCACTTAAGGGCATTTTCTCATTAGATTGTAAAATTGTAATCTAAAGATCCCCTCACTCAGCGGAGGTCTCTTTTAGCTCAAGGAGGCTGGAGGGGGAGGGGGGGGGGTGGAAACAAACAGCAGCCTGCCGTCTGCAGCCAATTCCACACCTTCAGATATGAAACGGAGGGAGAAAAAAAAACAGAAATACAATATTTTGTGGCTTTTATGCAAATATGACATTTCCCCTGCTGGTTCCACAGAGCCATGTTCTCTGGATACCTGGCTGTGTGACTGTGCTGAGGTAGCAGCTGCCTCTGTTGCACGAGTCTTCATCACTTATCAACACATTAATACCTGCCTCAAATAGGAAATACACTCACGCGAGGTGTCGCTTAAATTAAATTAACTCTCACGGCTGCTCATTCAGGACTAAAATGCAGTGCGTTTATTTCAGATAGTTAGAGAGACGTGCAAAATAAAATTTCATCTTAAAGGCACAATCCGTAAAAACTTTGGGTTTGCAGAATCGGCTTGTAATGTTCATAGCTGTGTTTTCATCAGTGTAGAATCACCAGAAAGTAAAACGTTGTTGTGTTTTTATAAACTTAGACTGAACCCTTCCTATCTGTGACAGGGAATCCACCGTGTTGCGCCATGTTTAGACAGAACTCTAAGAAAAGAGGACAAATCAAACATCTCATCTCGCTTTGTGCCATCTGCACCGTGAGTCTGAAATAAAAGTTTGATTGATTGATTGTCACGTTCACGTTACCCGAAGGCCATCGTAGTTCTCCAGCACGTCTGCGAAAGTGCAGAAATACGAGCCTCAGAGTGCAAAACCGCAGCCGTCGCCTGACTCCCGTTCCCCCTAAAGTACTGTTGTTATGGTAAGGATGACCACTGAGCCAGGTGTTGCCATGGTTTTTGCACTCAGTGGCTCGCGGTGGGGAGCGTTTGAAAGGGAGCGGAGGGATGTTCAGTTGGTTGCAATCTGCAACTTTACAACATTGTAAATGTGTGGTATGCATATTTGAAGTAAGAGCCTTAGCAAATCAATTAGTGAAGCTTACTAAGAGAGATCATTAGTTTGGTAATAACTGACAGCGGACGGTTTAAATTCAATTTGCTATACGCATAGCAGAAACTGCAGCGTTAAGCCGATTGTTCAATTTCTGCAAATTTCCTTTGAAAAGAGGCTGGAAGGGATATTTTTAAAATATTGTCCTCACGTATGTTCTGTCCTTTTAAGATATTTTCCTGCACCAATATAAAAACAATTCTCTCAAAGAAGACATTTGTCCAGTTAATAATATGGCTTTGATTATGTGTTTTATCTGTGACTCAATTAATATTTAACTGGCAATCCACCTAATGCGCAAACAATTAAAAAATGATCAAATACATTCTGAGGAACGCAGCAATATTATTCACTCTAGACTTTTTCATCCCTCGTGTTTGTTTACCGGCCCAACACAAAAACTCCTCATTCTTTATCATGTGAAGATGAAATGTATCTCAAACATTAGAACATGAATCTCTGTCAACATCTGTTAATCTGTATTTGTAGACAAAGCTTGTTTTAACAAATGTTTTAGCAGGTGCATTTTGTTGTGAAAAGAACATCTGGAGAGCGCATTTAAGAGATGCATTTAAGAATACACTCAGCACATTTTGGGATATTTTGTTTTATATCCAACTGGATGTAGGCTGAGTGTCCATTTCATCCTAACCTGTGATTAAATAGGGAAAATAAACAGTTATTTTTATGGAGATTGTTTTTTTCTGTCAGACTCTCGCAGTGGATCCAGTTATCAAAGCAATAGCTCCACTCAATTGAGCCAATCACATTGAAAGCTCATCATGCATATATAGTATGTTGGTGAGAACAACATTATTGGAGAGATGTGAGAGAGATGGAAGCTTCAGTTTGTTTCAGACTGTGAAACAGTAACGCTTCCGCGACTTCACAAATTCCATTGATTAACCCTTCTTAAGACTGTTTGACTATTAGTCTGCTCGCTTGCAGCCAGACTTCTTTTTTTAGCACGGGACGAATGTGGAAAATGTTTGCAGTAACTCACGGTCCCGAACGTGCATGAACTTGTTGCCACAAGTCAATTTACCTCACAGGGAATTGATGGATCACTACAATTTTTTATTTTTATTTTCCATGTTTTTTTTCTCGCACAAGGTTCAGCAGCTCGCTGCATTTTGAATGCTCATGCTCCTGCAGGTAAAAGCGCTGATGTCCAAACCACAACCGTGCCATAATGCACGGTTAACAAATCGTATATAACCACTGCCCCACAGTGACATGGCCTCAACATTTGAGCTGCTTAATCAGGGATTTCCGGTTCATTAATGAAATGGTCTTTCAACAAATGCAAACACACTTTCCACAGAAGGTTTTGCCCCGACTACTGGAAAACAAAACACTGTATTGATTAATTTTATTAACGGATCAATATATACTGTTTAGTCTATAAATGGCCAAAAGTTTAAAGTTAAAAAAAAATGTATTGGCAAGACATTAGCAAAACTGTTTACACTGCAACTTTCCAAGGAACTCTGAAACCTTTACTGTCCCGATTGGAGGAACCAGGATGTATATCAAGTCTCAGCTCCTGGACACAAATGCCCTGCTGGAAAACCAGAGTTTAATCTTTTTAGTCTTTGTTCAGCTTTTCCCTAAATAAATGTATTTGATTCAGTTTTAATGTGTTGCATTTTAAAATCACAAACTGAATCTCAGCATGTCTGCCCTGACCCGCCCTCCTTTCCGTTTGGACAGCGAGCTGCTTCTTAAATTGCCAAACTGCAGTTCACTTCAAAGCAACAACCGACCTTCGGGACATCCGATAGCTTTTGGATGAGATGATAAACCTTCCCCGTTCTCATCATCGGCCCACATCCCCCAGTTCCTCCAACCGTTTTCACTTGTTCAAACCTTTGTTCCACACTCTGGAAATACGTTTGATTAACAGACGAGCCTTGAATTAGAACATTAGAACATTAGAACATTAAACATTAGATTCAAAAACTTCGTGATTTTGGTTTTAACTCGTATTACTTGTGTTGGACCGTGAAGCCCAGCAAACACAAAAAACTTGCAGATGCGTTTGTAGCATATAATAGTGATACGATTTTCTGCAAATAGAGACATGATTTTGCACGTGAATGATAACTTGAATGTCATTTCCACCATTGTATTTTGTTTTTTAGGGCATCAAACAGGAAACAGGCCGTGGGTTTTGGAAGGACATTGGCTGTGACAAACAAACATAATGCCATGCACTCCTTGAATGGTTTTCGTGTGCCAGATGTGCCCGCGTGTCTTTTATTCACATTTGGTATTTAGTCATGGCGTGGACTGTGAGCTTTCATTTCCTCTGTGAGGCTGTAAATGTAAGCTCAGCATCCTGTGGGAGTGACTACATAAAACACTAGCGGACCTCGGTGTCTGCCAGAGGCTTAGCCAAAGCACGGACGCTTCGCTTCCATCAAGCAAAGGCAATATCCTCCATATCTCTGTTTATCTATCTGAAGAACACACCATCAAAAAACAATCCTGCAATAAAGAAAGTATGGAGAAAAAAAAGTCTGAGTCACTGAAATAACAACAATGAAACGACTGGAAAAAAGCCTGCATGGTTGTTACTCATTATTTTTCTATTATGCAGAAATTATTCTTTATTTACGACAATAATGAGAAAGAAATAACGTATTTTACAGGTCAACATCGTCAAGAGATTTCTTTTAAACTCTTTTATTGTGCATTTCTGACGATCTCTTGGGTTTGACTCTGCATCGGTTGTTTGCGGTTCAATTCATTTTTAAATTCTCCCCCTTGTGATGTGAATGTGACCCGCATAACAAATTGCATTTAAAGGGGAATAACGTGCACTGGGATTCTCCCCTTTCAGTCTGGAATTTGCATAATTTCTTTTGGCAACTTGGAAAGGGGCCATTAACAGCACTAAGACACAATGTAAAGCGTGAGGCGACGCAGGCGGATCAATACTGTACTTCGACATTTCAGCAGCACCCGGGTGCAGATCCGAAGGCTTTCACTTTTCACTCATTTTTCACTCATTTCATTTCGATGAAATCGTTCGATTCCGTTTCCCCAATGGTTAAAACGGAATCGTTTCAACCATTGGGGGGTGGGGGGAGGGGGGGGGGGGGCATGTTTGGCAGAGCAACCTTTGACACCAACTTCATTCAGCTCAAAATGTAGAAAGAGCCTTCCAAACAAGTGGATTAAAAGCAGGAGGGTGGATGTCGTCTGCAGGGTGACCCTGAGAGGGCGAGGGCGGGTGGGGAAGGGGGAGGCGGGGGGGGGGGGGGTCGCGACTCACGCCAGTGAGGAGGAAATAATCACAATGTTACCTTCTCATGAATTATTAAGTGCGCTGTGCCTATTTTAGTCCGACTCCAAATGCTGCATTTCCATCCGTGGGTCGGAGGCAGAGTGTGTGTGCAAGGGTGTGTGTTTTTCTTTTTTCCTTTTTCCCTTTTTTCTTCTTCTTCTTTTTTTTTATTTGACAGCTGTATTACTGCTGATAAGCGAGGACTGTGTGAGCTGATCAAGTAGTGAGACAAGCGTCCAGAGCAGCAGCGCAGCAGCAGCATCAGCATCAGCAGCAGCAGCGCTCCAGTCACCAGGAGCCGAGGCGACACAAGCAGCAGCAGCACCATCAGCGGAGGCAGCAACAAAACTCTCTCCTCTCCATCTCCCTTCTTTCTGGAGTTACTCCCCGCTCAGAGGACCAAACAAAACAAACAAAAAAAGCCTAACGAAGTAAGAGGAGAAGTGATCCGGGAGCTGCCATCCACACACACACACACAAAGACGCACCCAAAACGCAGACCTGGCTGCCCCCATGCCTATCGAATTTGTTTGCAAAATCAAATTTGCAGAAGAGGATGAGAAGCAGAAAAGCCAGCAGGATGGGGACCGGGAGAGCCTGATCGAGGAGAGCTGCGCGCCCCCGGCTAAGGACTTGGCCGTGTTCGCCAAGTCCTGCTCTCTCCATGGGATTAACCACATCTTCGTCTCCGGCCGCCTCGGCATCCGGCAGACCCTGTGGGCTCTCGCCTTCCTCACTTCCCTGGCGCTGTTCCTCTACCAGGCGGCCAAGTGCGCCATCTCCTACCTGGAGCACCCGCACGTCACGGCTCTGAACGAGGAGGCGAGCCCGGAGATGGTTTTCCCCGCCGTGACCATCTGCAACATCAACCGCTTTCGCTTCTCCGCGCTCACCGACGCCGACATCTACCACCTGGCCAACCTGACGGGTCTGCCCCCGAAAAACAAGGACGGCCACAAGCCGACCGACCTGATGTACCCGGCGCCGGACATGCAGGACATCTTCAACAGGACCGGCCACCAGCTGGAGGAGATGCTGAAGAGCTGCAATTTCAGTGGGCACAACTGCTCGGTGGAGGACTTCTCCGTGGTGAGTGAGGAAGTTTGCGTCGTCTTGGTGGAAACTTTTTTTTTTTATCGCGGAGGGAACAAGTCATGCGTTTCGTTTTTTAGGAATCAAACAAACGCGACTCTACGTGGGGTCGTCTTTTTTTTTTTTTTTTTTTTTTTTTACACAAAACGAGTGGTGACCAAAAAAAACACAAAAAAACCACCAGGACAAAAAGAAAAGTGACCCCTTGGATTTTATTTGAAATTTGTCTTTGCGCGTGCGTGCGGGGAGAGGGGAGCGCTCGGTCACCCGCGCGGTGTTTCTCCTCGCTAAGTTCTAAGCAGCAACAGGGAGCTTCTCCGCGGCCGCGTGCTCCTCTCGCGTCGGAAGAACTGACGTCGCGCGTGCGTGCGTGTTGCTTGTGTGTACTTTTGCGAGACAAATGTTGGGCTTTTAATGTTGCTTCCAACTCCAGCGGCTCAGACTGCGTGGCAACAAAACTGTCATCGCAAATAGCCTGGTCTCTTCTTCCTCTCCTTTCACCCTCCACTCCTCTCTCTCTCTCTCTCTCTCTCTCTCTCTCTCTCTCTCTCTGTCTCTGTCTGTCTGTCTGTCTGTCTGTCTGTCGGTCTGTCTGTCTGTCTGTCTGTCTCTCTCTACCAGGGGGAGAGAAGTAATGCGTCTTCAACGTTGTATTTCAATCCTGCTGCTGTTAGGATAAAATATTTAGAGACAGACATACATGATTTTTGCATTAGCCAGATTGACTAAAAGCAATGAAACAATTTTCATGAGAGAGGGAAAGTGTGTGTGTGTGTGTGTGTGTGTGTGTGTGTGTGTGTGTGTGTGTGTGTGTGTGTGTGTGTGTGTGTGTGTGTGTGTGTGTGTGACTGAGCGAGAGCTTGAAAGGGGGATCAGGTGAAAGAGGGAGAGTTTGTGCCTGTGTTCTGTGCACTATTTATTAAAGGCACTGTCCTTGCAGGAGATGGATTCCCCCATCTCTCCCTGCAGGAATAGGAATATGCAATTGCTTTAGAGGTGATAAAGTGTTGCTGTCAAGTCTTAATAGGGTATGTTGAACATTCATATGCCCACCTTCCTGAGACCCAACGATCACATGGACGCCACGACGTTACCAACGGTGTGCCGCTTGCACCAAAGAAATGGCGACATTTCACGGTGTCCCATTAGGACTCTCTGGCAGTGCATGTGTGTATTCATGTATCTATAAGCAGACTTAAAAGTTGTGCTGGTAAGCACGGATCCCCCTCGAAGCAAAAAGGAAAATGTAGAGAGGGAAAGTTTGACAGGATTCAGTCGGAAGCAACAATGTGACAAAAAGTGAATATCGTGCTTGCAGTCCTTGTAGTACACGACACTTTGACACACAGCCCTCCCCGAGCACCTTAATTAGCGCGCGGCGCTGACATTTCGCGAGAAGTCTGTCCCCTGTCAGTCTGCGAAGCCTCCTGCGTCTCTCCTTGGACACCGGGTGACTTCATCACAGATTAAGATCCAGTTGAAAATCCCCAAAGCTGCTGTTTCCCCTCTGTCGGCTATGTGATCTGCACTTTGGGTGTGTGTGTGTGTGTGTGTGGGGGAGGGAGATGGGGGGGGGTGCTGTCAGTTAGATTTGTTACAGGCTACTTGCTGCCTCCACGCATGACAAATCACTTACCTCCCGACTCCTGGTGGGGGGGAACAAAGCTGCGAGTTGGTTAGGGAGGACGGACTGGGAGCCGTGGGACCGGGCCGAGCCAGCGACGGGAGCGACAAACCCGACAAATAGCCTCATGCCGAGGACGCCATTGGTGCAGCCGGCCTGCTATTAATCACACGCAAAGCATGTGCACGGAGCCACACGTGCACACGTGCTAAAGTCTCCCGCGCAGGTTGGCGCATTATTCCAGCTCTCGCGAGGCTCTCCCTCCCGATCGGCCTCCTTGTAATGTGCTTTTGCTTTCGATTGATTATCCCGGGAGCTCCAGGTGTTTCATTTTGATAATAGCCACATGGATTTGGGGCTCTTTGGGAAAATGCATGATGAAATATAATTGAAATCGTTTCTGGCATTGAAGCTTCTTCTGTAAAAAAAAAAAAAAAATACAGTGTTCCGTGCCACAGACCTACGGTTAGCAATTTGACTCGTTGCGCGAGTAATTTCAAGCGATTGCTCAAAATGAACATAACGTTAGTCAAGTTACTTGTAAAATTGTAAAATACTTGAATTGCATAAAATTCCCTTTGTTATAAGTTTATTACAGACAACCATTAATTGGCTTCTGTGCAATCACTGTTGGAAGGATTTTAAATAAACACTCAGGACCCGAACAGAATCGTCTGGGTGCTCTAATTAATGGTGGGAAAATACATAATCACGGAGCAAAGAAATTTGTTTTTGCTTGTCCTGCATTATGGGCCTGCGTGATTATTTGACGTAGGTAATAAGGCCATTCTTTATAATTACAGATTACATTATTGACTTGGATTAATCACAGAAGATAAAGCTAATTTAACCAGCCATGAATAAATAGATTATTTTTCTTCCCGTCCAACACTGAATAATTGTTCATCTATTGTGGTGTGCTGTCGCAGAGATGAGCAGCGAGCCCTTTGGCTTCTTTTTCTTCTTCTTTTTTTCAAACAGAGCTCTGAATTGGTTTGCTCTGACTCTCAGCTGTGTTTGCTGCTGCATTATCTGATTTTGCTCTCAGCAAGGACGGATCCCTTCTGCATATATTCATGGGGGAAACTAAACTGCTATAGGGTGGCATGTCAGAGGAGCTATAAAGGCCGGGCCGAAAGCGAGGGACTCTGCACCTGTGCTTCATTACACTGGTTAAAGCCACTACCGTGTGTTCTATAGATAATTGGAAGCTTAATAGTGTGTGTTCACCCCTCCTGCCTTTCATACTGGGATTATTAGTAGCACATGAATGTAAATCAATACTGTGAATAAATAGCACTCAGGCTACATTATTTTGAGTTGATAAAGCACATACAAACAGCTTCAATACAAAAAGCAGACGGATCATATAGTGGGAAGGGCCGTGAACCCAGAAGACAGAATTTTACATATTTGGTTGAAACCAGCAATGTAACGACATTCTGTCGTACCAAGATGAGTCACCCAACCTGCAGCATGTCCGCTCCAGGGACCCCGGCTTTTACTTCAATTGTAAAGTTCTATTTTTTCCTGCCGTGCTCACATCTATCTTTTTTTGGGGGGGGGGATTTTTATTTGGCTTCCCGGAGCACCGTGGCACCACTTGTCAGTCTCTTTTACTCGGTGTGTGGTTTTTGGAGCGCCTGTAGAAATAAGTGTGATCGTCACCGTGGCCACGAGAAGTGCCTCCCAACTGGTAGTCAGCGAGTTCTGCAAGAACTCACATGCTCAGGCTCTCCTTCTCAGTTATATATCACAAAAATACATATATCTGTATTTATATATATATATATTTATTTGTGAGGGTGTTTTTGTGTGAAATGACATGTGCATATGACTGACATCCTCCTCCCTATAGGGGGTCTTGCACACACGCCCTCGACAGTGTACGATCCCACCAGCACACACTCACACATGGTGGAGAGAGTGGGGGAGCGTGAAAGTCACTGGCTATCTGGACCCGCTTCCTCTCCAGCGGCCTGTCAATTAGCCGTCTGCAGCTCCACCGCCGTGAGTGTGTCCCTGCAGCTCAGCGCGCCGCCGGATATCTGATCGGCACGCCGGCAGCGCTGAGCAAAACAAACATTTGTGATGTCTTTTATTGTCCTTTTCTTGTTGTTGTTGTTTTTAAAAAAAATAAATAACTTACCATCGACCCCCTATCTTTCCTGCAGCTTTTACATGCCGGCCCCGCTGCACTCCTTCCCACCTTGTCCTCCTCTTGCTCCTATCAGAGGAAGATGAATTACAGGGCAATTGGTCGGCTGAACCTTCCGATGTGCGTCACCCCTGTCTAATCAGATGAAACCCACCTGTGACCGGCCGCTGGGTAACAGCAATATGCAAACAGTTTATATTTGGGAGGGTTTACCTCCTTTTATCACTCCCTCAACTGGTTTTTAAAGCTCTCACTGCGCCACGGTTGGCAGCGCTCGGTTAGACGGGGAGAATCCCCGGCTCAGAGATGGCTTTTAACTCAACGATAAAGGCTTCGGGTGTTGTGGTACCGCCAAACACCCCCCGACCCTCCTCCTGTAACCCTTGGGAGTCTTTTACTCACACGGACATTTGTCTTTTTCTGACAAGTCATACACCCAGCTGTCCGTAGTGTTAATGTGGCTGCACGCGCACACACGCAGACGTGTGTATTTTGAGTGTGTACAGTGCAGGATGTTTCCCCATACGTACACACACACACACACACACACACACAGGTTTCATCACAGATTGAGAGAGTTGGCTGGCGAGATTGATCATGACTCCTGACTGGGTGCCCCTCCCTTTCTGCAAGATCAATGCATCCTTCAGTCAGATTGCTTCGCTGCCCTTCCTCCTCCAAGCTGGTGTGACTAATTATCTTGGTGTCCGTGTTTTGGACCCGGCCTCAGCTGCATTTGTTAATGCCGCCAGAGTTGGTGAGGAATTTGATCTTTGGAGCAAGATGTCTGTTTGTTTTAGCGTATATCCAGGCCAAATCAATCAATATACACTGTCTACCTTTTTTCCTAAAGGGCACTGAAATTATCGAGCCACACGAGATGACTCACAGCTTAGACTTTGTAGGGAAGGGAGGGAATGAGCTTTTTGATGAAGTGGAATCAAATTTAAAATCAGATTCAAAATATAGGGATTTTTTTTTCATAGTCGATTGATGTTTAAGTTTCCCAACGCGGCATCGTCTGAATTAGAATCCACATAATACAGACCAACCGGGACCTTTGATGGAGATTGCACCCTTGGGCCTGGTTAGATTACTCCGAAATCCAACAAACTCAAATATTGTCCGAATTTGAATTAGTTCTTGCAAACGAACGGAAACAGGTTAGAGAGTCTTTGGGGCGACGACACGTATGTAATCTTCTCCTGGAGCATT